GTCGGCGGCGCGCGCGGCCGCAGCGGCGCTGACGTCGGTGTCGCCGTCGCCGCGGCCGGACGGCGGCGACGAGTGGTTTGACGACCTGCTGTGCGACATTAACTGCGGCGGCGGGCGCGGCATGGGCATGGGGATGGGCATGGCGTCCTTGAGCGACCTGGGGGTGGAGGGCACCTGCCTGTCCCTGGGCGGCCGCCGCACGCCCACGCCCGCGGCCGCCGCCGCCATGGCCCGCGGCCGCGGCGGCGGCGCGGCGCTACACCTGCCCGGCGACGAGGACGAGGACGGCGCCGCGGCGCTGATCGCGCCGCTGCCCGCGCCGGGGTGCGTGCCGGCGTGGATGGACGGGTGGTGACGCGGCGTGCGCGGCTGCAGGTGTGCCGCGTGGCCTCATTGCGGCGTCGCGGCACACGCTGTCCTGCGGGGCCCCACGCCCTGCTCGGCAAGCACCGACGCCCGGCTGGGCCCCGTGCCGCGCGTTGGGGCTGCGCAGACGCAGAGCGTGCCGAGGGCGCCCTCGCCCCCCCCCCCCCCGTACACTCTCTGCAAAAGCGCGCCGGCCCGTTTGCTCTTCGCCAACGCTGCTGTGACCCAGCAGGTGTGATAATCGGCGCCCTGAAAACAGCGCGAAACGCGGCCCGAGCGCCCCACACACTGGCACGTGTCGGTGCTGCCAGTGTCCCCACTCGCCCCTGCCCTTTGGCGGCCCCGGCTCGCGCCCACCAATGCACCCAGTGAAGAACTCTTTGATTGCGGCCGTCCCCCGCCCGCCGTGCTCCCGCGCGGGCAGCAGCTGAGGGCGGCGATCCCACACGTTGCCTGCATGCCCCTTCCCGCCCCCGCGCGGGGCCGGCGCTGTACCACCACCAACCCCCTTGTGCCTGTGCCCGGCAAACCCCCACCATAACGCCCGCGCTACGCGCGGCGACTGTTTACATACGCTTCGCCTCGTGGCATTGTAGCCCCTTCCCCTCCGGCCCCTGCGCGCCGCGCCGGGATTCTACGCCTCGTTGACCCCTTTGCAAAGGCGCCCCCGCCGCGGCCGCGCGGGGCGCCACCCCAGCGCGCCGCCTCGCGCCGCCCCCGCCAAACCCCCCATCCAACGGCGCGCGACGCGCCACCATGGCAACGGGGGGTTTGGGGTCGAGCGCGGCGCCCGAGGACTGCATTTGTTTAGTCTTTGGGCCATCCAACTGTGCCTGCCCCTGGCCCATCACCAGCAGCCCTCAAGGGAGAGACGGACTTGTTGCATCAGGAGAGCGCGTGCACATAACGATGTAGCACCACCCTAGCAATGTCATGCCCCTGCCTCGCCACGTCGGCCACAGGCGCAGCGGTTGCGCCGCTGCGTTCTGCAGGCTGCGTGTGAGTGAGTGTGTGTGTGTGTGTGTGTAAGTGCGTGCGCGCGCGAGTCGCGCGCGACCTTGAAACTAAGCCTTAGGGCGCATCCTCTGGGGCCTACCCCCTCAGCCGCAGCAACTCCTTTTTGCCTCGGACCCTCGCCGCACCCGCGCGTCGCAGTGCCTAGGCGGCAAGGGGCAGCCGCCCTCGCGTGGCCGCTGCCCCCGAGGTCGCCGCCAGGCGCGCCTGTCTTTTTAGTCACGGGCCCCTCTTGACAGCGGGCTGCCTTGTACCCTCTTTCATGTCGCTGCAAGCAAGGACAAATTATTACGTTCTCATGCACCATCCCATTTGCCCCGCACGGCATCAACCAGAATGCTCCGCGTGCGCGCACTGCCCGATGGGCCGCGCAACTCGAGGCAGGCGGCGGCCGCCGCAACGAGCGCGCAGCTGCGAATGCAGCGCGCCCAAGCGGCCCAGGGATCTCTGCCCACACGGCGTTGCCGCGCGCCGAGACGACGTTGCAGGCCAGGCCTGCACGCGCGCGTGAGGGCGTTGCGACGTTGCGCGTTGCTGCCGTGTGCGAGTGCACGAGCTTTGCATCGCGTCTGGGCTTTTGAGTGTGTGCATCTTCGCGCCCCTCCCCCGTGCGTCGCCCGACGCCCGTCTGTACCACCACGTGCCGACACGACCTGGCCTGGCCTTTGGCCGAGGTCCGGGGGCCTGGCCACTCTCACCTAGGCACTGCCTGCAGCACCAACGCTGCGGTTCGCGTTCCCAACAGCCGGGAACGCAAAGTGTTTTGGGAGGAGGGACGCTCGAGGGACGGTCGCCACCTCACACACATTGCCACTATTGCCGCACTTTTGCCTCCCCCCTCTATTGATGTACACTATCAATACGCATTGCCACTGGCATCTACCCTTAGACGTGGGTAACATACCAAAGACGAGCAGCTCCAATACAGGTGCTCCAACAGAATTGTGTGGGGGTGTGGCGTGCAGGGACCCTGCAAGCCTCACCCTCCACCCGAGGGTGGATGGGTGGGATTTATTAACACCAACAATCCACAGCCAGCTCTTGTGGAGCAAGCAGGGACGACATGTGTGGTAGCAGCTTTTTCCTGGCTGGGTTCTCACACAGGTTTCCTATTGTTTTCAGCAGCCTGCCAAGTACGCCTGCCTATTGCAACGTGACAAGGTGCGAACGTCTCTTTTTGATGGTGTGGGCGTAAGATGCTCGCTCGTTTCGGCTTCAGGTTCCGGGAGTCAGGGTGAAGCTGGTGAAGTCAGAAGCGACATCAATATCCTGCATCAGCGCAAATGTGAGTGAGCTTGTGGGTTTGTATGCATGGCTGTTCGCATGAGCCTCCCACACAGCGCGTAAATCGAGCCCGAACAGCCTGTCATGACGACGCTGCAGCCATCATGTGCACATGTGGGCGTTTTCGGCATGAAAGAAATTGAGCACCGTACCGAGGTGTGCCAAATAGTATTGTGCGCAGAGGGAATGCGCTCCCTCATTTGAAGCAGCGGGTAAACCGGCAACGGTCTTATCGCATAACTCAACTCACCAGCAGGGTCTGCGTCACTCTGGAATGTTTGACCGGTGCCGGTGGTGACTGGCGTCATTCTCTAGTCAGTTCTTCTGGAAAACGCGACACGCACGGATCACTCACCTTGAAACCTTACATACCTGCGTCTCGTCCTCCTGTTTCTACCAAAGCGGAGCAAGGCGCGGCGGCACACTGTAGAGCGGCGCGAAGGGCTGGCAGTGATGGACGACATGGAGGAGGGTGAGGTACCCGAATCTCCCGAACAGCACGCCGTGTATCAAGGTTGGTCCCAGCTTGGCTCAGTATTCCGAGGAGCGCGATCTTGGGCTAGCGACACAAGACGTAGCTGCACACTATCTGCATGGCATGATGAACCCTGCCTGTATACTTTCATTGCGGTAGGCTGGCTTACCATGAGCAGCCGCCGGCTGCACCGGCTCTAGGCGACCTGCCTGCTGCAGCACTGCTGGTGGTGCTCGGGCACAAGTAGTGCCCGCCGGCGTCCCCATGCCACCACGTGTGCATGCGACGCAGGCCAACCCCCCGGGTCAAGCCAGATGACTAAGAAGCAACTGAAGAAGCTGAAAAAGCGGCTGCAGAGCATGCACAAGGTCCCAAGCAACAGCACGAGCGGCGTTGACGGTGCTGGCGGTGGCAAGCATCCGGATCAGCAGCAGCTGCCACTGCAGCCACAGCAACAGCCGCAAGAGGCCTTTTACAATGTGTACGGCACCAATGTGAGGCCCCTGCTGGTGCCCGCCCGCGGGTCCGCTTGGGCCAACCGCTGCGTAGCTGATATCAGCCATCGAGGCGCCACCTGCTGTGCCTCGAATTTTGATGCGCCCCCTTCCCCCGAAAACGCGTCGCGCCCCCTTCCCCCCCCCCACCTACTCTCTCTC